GTTTGTTCTCTATTGTTAAGTCTCTCTTTTTCTGAGCCATTGTCTCCCCAAGCTTCCTGCCACTTCTGTTTATCCTATTCTCCCTTGATCAAGAGCGCTCAGCCTGTCCCTCTACTATACCTTCTGTTTTCTCTAAGATGAAATTGTCATGAATTACCACACTCTCTAGACAGATGTGTCCTGTATATGTTGTTCTTACGCTTCCAATATCTCTTATTCCAAAAAGAATGTTGGTATGAGAAACCATGATTTTGTTTTTATGTTTTTTTGGGTTTTTTTTTTAAAATTTATTTATTTAGTGTTATTTTTAAATATAATTTATTGTCAAAGTGGCTACCACACAGTGTGTAAAATGTGCTCTTGGTTTTTGGGGTAGATGGTTTTGCACTCAATTCCTGAACTAAAGGATGTCCCCTCTTAGGTCATTTGTTCCATCTCTGTAGATTTAAAAAAAATTTTTTTAATGTTGATTCATTTTTTGAGAGAGAGAAGGAGACAGAGTGCCAGCAGGGGAGGGGTAGAGAGAGAGGAAGACACAGCATCCGAAGCAGGTGCCAGGCTCTGAGCCATCAGCGCAGAGCCCGATGTGGGGCTCAAACCCACGAACTGTGAGATCATGACCTGAGCGAAGATCAAGAGACAGACACTTGACCCACTGAGCCACCCAAGCGCCTTCCTATGTAGCATTCTGGAAAGAGCGTTGCTGAACAACACCCTAGAGCAGGAACTTCCTGTCTGTTCTTCCAGACCCCACCTGGAACCATTCAGTTCTCTGTTGTGTCATATGCGCATCCATGGACACACACATTTGCGCAGACCTCAGGGTACTCTGTTTCTGCGTTAAGTCTTACGTTCATTGCTCTAAATATTGTTAAGAAGGCGTCTCTCATTTGGGAAAATAAGTAAGTGTGTCCCTCCCTGATTTCTCAGCCTTTCTATGATTCCAGCAAGGGCTGCCCTTATTCCTAAGGAGCTCACTGTCTCAGTATCTCGCTTTCCTTGTGTCTACCTTCAAATATCACAAATGCAGTGAACTCCTCCTCGATGTATCATGAAGGGAACATTTTGTAACGAAATAATTCGGAGTCAGTTACATGAGTTGAAATACAATCAAAAGACATTGATTTTTTGTTTTTTAATCTATGCCCACCTTTCCCTCTTACTTTGTTTGGCCCCGATAAAAATCTGGAGCTTGAGGTACAGGCTTCACAGGATCCGACATTATACGTCAGCCTGCCCAGGCCACTACTGGTGACAACAGGGTGAGAGGCATTTGTAACACTCTGCAGTTTCTGGAATTTGACACAGAAGCCAGACCATCAAGGAAATTCCAGTTAAAGTGATCAATGATATGTTAACCCCAGACGTTTAAAATATTAAGGATTGGAAGATATGTAATGAAATTAGCACTTTTATACTTTGTAGGTGAGGAAGTAGTTTAGTCCACTTTCTGGAAGATGTTTTAGCAGTAGGTGCTGGGAACCTTAAATATTTACGTGCTTTAGCCTGGCGAGTCTAACACTGAGAATTATTCCAGGCAAATAATCGCCAATAGGACATAAAGATGAACTACAAGACTGTCCTCTGCAGGAGAATATCTGTCGTCAAATTAGGCTTTTGTTACTAAAAGCAATAATATGTTATAACATGTTTGTAATACGTTATAAAAATGTAGATATTTGATCATGGGGCATCATTAATTATCCTGTGTAATGCCCGTTAGTGCCACTGAAAAATGTGTTGTCAAGAATTATAGGGTAAATGCTTGTTTATGTTAAATCAAATTAGGAGATGTGAAGGAATATTTAAGATCATTGTATTAAAAATTCACATTTATGAAAACCATAGAAGGAAAAATACACAGGAAAATACTCTATAGTGTTAGCTAGAAGATTCTTTGTCTAGTGACATCATGAATTCTTTTATTTAATTTCTCTTTTTCCTTCTTTTTCAGTCATTCTACAGTGAATAGGTAGCCCTTTATAATCCAAAGAAATACATGTGTTGTTGAATACGTATGACTAATAAAAATCCCACAAACATAGGTCCTTCAGATTAGTCATCAAAGATATGTCATATGACTTGTTCTTATCAGCCAATTCCCACTGGAATTATATGAGCCTTCGTCTGGGGCCTCTGAAAATCAGTCACATTTATTGACTGTTTTATGTCAGTTTAAGACTTTAACGTATCCAGTCTTTGCACGATTAAGATTATTTTGGTTACTTCGGTGGGTGACCCATAAAGTGCCTCTATTAATCAAAGCCATTTCTGTCCTTGGCTGTTGATCAAACCAGAAATACCATTAACTTTGTAATTTTTAGCTCAAGAGATTACAACTGCCAAACTCTTCTAACAAATAAACAAGGCCTTCTGTTGCCTCTGCTAATGTTGGTAGCATCCCCATAAACACACACGACCGTAGACGAGATGCTAACCCCACACTCTTAAAACCCTCGTGAAGTAAGTAGGTATGTGTACAAGGTGCCTTCAGTGTGTGTGAAGAGGTGACCGGCCTCGTAAAATGATGGAGTTGTTTTGTTTTTTTGTTTTGTTTTCTGCCATACAGACAGAGCTATGACATTCATATCGTGGCGCTGGTAAACCAGACAGGCTTCCGATCTGGGAACATCCTCGATCTAAAGAATCCTTTCTTTAGGTAAGAAATGCTCTCAGCCATGTCCCAGCCATGTGTATAAAATCTCAGTGGACCGTATGACCAGGTAAAGACGTTCAGAATAATTCCACCTTTCCTAAGAGGAGAAGAGGCATCTACCTTCCTCCTTAAGGAGACTTAGATCCTATGATGGAGTTGAGTGTTCTAGTTCCATTAAATGGAACTCAATATGTAACAACCTGATCTTGAAACCACAAAGAGTCCTACAAAGTGAATTCTCGTTCCAGCTGAGCTATAATGAGCTGCGTGACCTTGGGCAAAGTCGCTTCCTTCTGGTATTTGGTTTTCTCATCTGCACGATGTGGAGTTTAAATATGGGCTCCTCTGACCATCATTCACTAACAGATGGTTTTGTGCCGCATTTATTCCACTACACCTGAAACATGAAGTCCATTTAAAGTAAGTTTGTGAGATATTTTTGAGATCACGTAAGTCAGGACAAACCCCTCTTTAGAAGCCATGCAGGTTTTGTCTGATGTAAAAACTTGCCACAGTGAGAGGGATATGACGGATGTTTCTGGAAGAACCCCTCATCTCTTGCACCTCATCCATATGAGCCCATTAAAAATCCACACGTGAGGGGCGCCTGGGTGACTCAGTCGGTGAAGCGTCCGACTTCAGCTCAGGTCATGATCTCATGGTTCGTGGGTTCAAGCCCCACATCGGGCTCTGTGCTGACACTTCAGAGCCTGGACCCTGCTTCCGATTCGGTGTCTCCCTCTCTCTCTGCCCCTGCCCTGCTCACGCTCTGTCTCTCTCTCTCACAAAATGAATAAGCATTTAAAAAAATTTTTTTAATCCACACATGAAATCCACCCCAGAATTAAAACCACTGGGCACTGTCACTCTTGACTTCCCTACCAAAAAACAAAAAAAAGACTTTTCCTTCATACTATAAAGTCTCCCAAGGCTTTGTATTCAAAGCATCATGTCTCTGTAGTATTGAAAAGCATAAAGAGAAGAATAAACACGGGAAACCAAACCAAAAGTTCTTCGGCAGAGATGAGAAAATGAAATCGTGACCTCGAAGCACGGGAGGCCAAACATAGGCAAGGCTTCTCTTGTTTATGCTGTGTGTGAGTTGTCACGCATCGTATGAATCTTAAACTGATAGCCATTTAGGGATACGGATGCCATCTTTAACTTTGAGGGAAAAGGGGAGTTCTCCCTCCCATCCCTGTACAGAATCCCGTCACTAAAGTCGAGGGCACAGATTGTGGCCTCAGAGCATGCAGACTATTCACGAGCACAGTTTGACCTGCCTGGGCCTCAGTCTTCTCCTCTGTGAAATGGGATTAACAACACATGCCTCACTGGGAGATTGCAGGGATGCCCATCACATGTCCAAGCACTAAGCAGTTCCTGTTACTGGTGTTCAGTAATCGCCAGTTGGCTGTCTTTCTCCCTTTTCTTACTGGTCTCTGTGCTCCTCCTCTCTCCGTACGTAAATAGATGATGGTCTTGCACTTCATTCCAAACAGAATCATTTGGATTTGGGGATAGAAAGTGAATTTTTGTAGGGTTTTAGAAAACCCCCCTTTTGAGTGCAAGAACCATGCGAACCAGTAACTGGAGTCCTGCTTCCACTTTGTCTTAGGACAAGATTCTAAGCAGGACACAGACAGGGCCTGGGCCTTGGCCTTGGCCAGCCCCTGCTTTGCATGAAGACACAAACACAGTGGCCATAAGGTCACATGGAGGACCGGTCAAGGTTGAGCGACTCGCAAGATGGCCACAGCACCGTCAGAACAGACACACTGTTGGGTGATGGTGTGGGGGCAACGGATGCCTTTCCTTTTCCCTTCTCTCAGTACCAAGTCTGACTGATGTATTTAACTAATTAAGCAGATAAGGGTGCTTAAAAAGGTGACTCCCCTAGGCACTTCACATCTTATTTAAACTTCTTCACCAACCTTTTCCTAATGTCTAGCACAATCGTGATGATGGGCACCGAATCTTTGAAGGGCACTTTGCATCGAGTGCACGAACAGTTAAATGTTCAGCTGTGGTGATGCCCTTCTTCGGGTCCCCCACAGTCACAGCACCTGAGAAGCAGCACAGGAGCATGTGTGTGCATGCATGTGTGTGTGTGTGTGTGTGTGTGCGTGTGCGTGTGTGTGTGTGTGTGTGTGTGTGCGTGTGTGTGTGTGTGTGTGTGTGTGTGTGTGTGTTGGGGAAGTGGCATTACCCAGAGAAATTATCGGTGACTTAGAGGTAATTATTGGTAATTTCTTTATCAAAATGAGTAACTTTCCATTTTTTTATTCTACCCATTTTTAGGGCACGATAGATTTACACACAGGAACAAAAAATTCATTTTTGGGTTTGGGCTGATACCTGGTACCATCTAAAAACATCTAATGGGGCATGCCAAAACATCTAAGGATCGACAGGTTAATTACTAAGACCTTGAATATCCACCATTAAATGTGATGTACAGGTTTCTGTCTTTCCTTAGGCAGGCTAGGGAGACTTTGATTTTCGCTATTATTTTAAAGTAATTTGAAAATAAAAGAAGGGCTCACAAATGTTGCTAAAAGTGAGCGAAGGGACAGAACTGCTTCATCGGCAAGGGAAAGCTCTCCAGTAACCCGGCAGAGTCTCCAAGGACTGTGAGGCCAGTCCTTCATCACTCGGGCCCCACGCAGTCTGTCCCCAGATCTGGCTGGCGGGGCGACCAGGCAGTCCCTGCCTCCAGGAAGCTTGTGTTGTAGTAGGAGGGAGGGCAGGGCCTTAAACAGCTACCTGCATAATTATGTCATCATACTTGCAATGCGTGATGAGTAGGAGGGGTAGAGAGTGCCAAGAGAGCATTGATGGGGAGACCTAGAGCAGAATGAATCCATAAAACCCACCACTGGTACCCCTCGCCCAGCAATAGCTGGAGAACCCTTCGTACATGGTGGCAAAGTTTATTTATTTATTTTGAGAGAGAGAGAGAGAGAGAGAGAACAAGCTGAGGAAGGGCAGAGAGAGGGAGAGACAGAATCCCAAGCAGGTTCCGCCCCATCAGCGCGGAGCCCTGTGTAAGGCTCGAACTCACACACTGCGAGATCATGACCTGAGCAGAGCCCAAGAATCGGACACTTAACCGACTGTGCCGCCCAGGCACCCCAAACATGCCCACCTCTAAGAAGCCTTCCAAGGCCAAGGCTGGCTTAGATGTCCCTCCCAGAGCACTCAGCTCTCTGCAGACACCACTTTGGGGGCATGTGTCTCAATTACTGGGTTTTTTGTCCGCAACCCCTCCTACCTTGAGCACAGCATCTTGCCTTCTGCTGTTTGTAACACGGTGTTGACACAGCAGGTGCTGAGTGAATGTCTGATGGGTGGGTGGATGAACATGGCCCCATGGAGCTCCTGAATGGCCCCAGAGTTTCTAACCATGGGGCTCTGGAGCCAAAAGCATGTCTTATTTCGTGCTGCTGCCACAAACCAGGACTCTGTCCCCTTCACAGCCTCTCCCAAACAACGTGGTCCTTCTCTCCTCCCAAACACAGATTCCTTCAGTTTCCCCAACTGAACTATCACTTTCCTTCTTGCTGTTCTCCATGGAATTTATTAAGTAATTATCATGCACCAGGAGATGTTCTCATTGCTAGGGTGTAACAGAGAATGACGGGGGTATGAATTCACTGGTCTCGTGGTTCCTGAAAGTCTCAAGGATTGGTGGGTCTCCTGACAGACATCCAGGAAGTAAACAAGTGAGAAAATCTCAAATACCGGTAGTTTTTCCCCAAAAAAGATAAATAGAGTAATAGCTACCTGATCTCAAGACTCAGGATAAACCTATGGTAATCCAGGCGGTGTATGCTGAAAAAACGACGCCATCCACGTAGGTGAATGGAATGAACAGAGGTCAGAAACGGACTTGCACATATACAGCCAATGTGATTTTTGACGTAGTTGCAAAAGCAATTACACGGAGAGGTGATGGTCTTCCAGAAGTGGCACAGGAATGATTGGATATCAATATGCAATAAAATTAGTGGCCTTCAACCCATATCTCACACCGTCTAAAAAAATTACCTCAAAAGAGATCATGGACTGAACCAGAAAATCTAAAAAATATGAAACTTGGAGAATAAAACATAGAAGGAAACTTTCGTGATCTTGGGTTAGACAGATGTGTCTTACATATGACACAGTTCCTAAAAAGGGAAAAATGATAAATTGTCCTTTATCAAAATGAAAAACCTATCTTTGAAAGACGATGAAAAGATGCATTATAAACTAGGTGAAGATATTTGGAAATCACTTATCTGGGGGAAAAAATCATATGCCGAATATAAAAAGAATGTATGCTAAATACTCTCAAAAAAGCCTAGTAATGGGAAAACATTTTTGGTAAGGGCCAAAGATGTGAGCAGACCCTCCATCAAAAAAAAGATATAATCGCCAAGAAGCACATGAGAAGATGTTCAGCATCATTAGTCAACAGAGAACTGAAAACTAGAACCATCGTGGCATAGTTCCATTAGATACATACACCTATTCGAACGGCTAAAATAAAAATTCTGACAATACCAAGTGCTGGTGAAGATCTGGACTGAGAATTCTCCCTCATGGTTGGTAGGAATACAAAATGGTACAGACAATTTAGAGAATAGTTTGACACTTCCTTAGATGGTTAAAAAAATCCGCTTACCATATGACCCAGCCATCCCACTGCAAGGTATTTATACAAGAGAGATGAAAACTCTATCTGAATGTTTATGGCAATTTTATTTGTAATCACCAAAACTGGAAACGAGAATGCCTTGCAAGTGGAGAATGAATAAACTATGATCCGTCCATACAGTGAAGTGATTTTCAGTAAGGACAAGGAAAGACCTCCCGATACGTGCAATAATACAGATGAGACTCAAATAAATTGAGCTACAGAAAGTGAAAGCAATCAGACTGCAAAGGCTACATAATATATGATTCCATTTCTATGACAATCTGGAAAAAGCAACACTCCAGATACAGAGACCAGCTCTGAGCTGGCCTTGGGGAAGGTTTGGCTATAAAGAGACATGGCAACACTTGGGGGCAATGGAACTTTCTAGATCTTGATTATAGCACTGGTAGTACATGTATGTATGCATTTGTCAAAGTGTGCAGAACCACAGTAAAAGGGGTGAATTTTACTGTCTGTAAATTTTTTCTCAATTACATGAAAACTTACCAAAAAAAACAAAAACAAAAACAACCCACCAAGATTACATAAAGGGATAGCAGAAACCAAATAGAACATTCTGCTAGACAGTGGCAAGGCCAGGGACGGGAGATGGGTGGTGTTTACACTGAGTAGTCTGGGAGGCCTCTCGGAAGAGGTGGCGACGAGTGGTGACTTAAGGTCAGGAAGGGAGTGGCGTGGACAGGTGTGCGAGCCGAGCCACCATCGACAAGAGCCCCGGAAAGGGCAAAGGCCTGAGGCGAAACAAGCCTGTTGAAACAGCAAGAAGAGAGAGAAGTAAGTCGGTGCTTAGCCTTTGCTGTCAACCTATAAAAAAAGAAAAAGTTCTTCCAGTGAACAAAAATCTGGATCATCATCTCAGATCTGAATTTAGGCTATGCATAATCAAACTTACTAAATATAGTGGGTAAATATAGATCTAAGGCTGCCCATAATAAAAACTCCAGGAAGGGCATGGGAGTGGAAAGGAGGAGGGGCGGGAGACCAGGAGGGAGGGAGGGGACAGGAACACAAAACTAGCTTTCCTGTGCCTTTGGATGGAGGTGGGACTGACTTACTCTGTATCATAGAAATCACCTTCTCTGTTTTAGGTTTGCTTAGAAGATAGTCCCAAGCCAGTCACTAAGTCAAATGAAGGCCTGAGAAGCCCCTCGCCATCCAGGTTCAGATTTCACGTTCCAAACGTGCACTCTGCATTTTACAAGGATGATTAGGTTTATTTAAATTCTTTTTTTTTTTTTTTTTTTTTTTTTTTTTTTTTTTTTTGCCCCCTGACTCTAAAATGTGCCTCCTAGTTTTATTGACAAGTCTGTTCCTTGGTGCTTCTTAGACTGGCTCTTTACAGCTTTCTGCATGTGAGCTGAACAAATAATTTTTTTTTGTTTTCAATGTGTGATTTCTCTGTATCATTATCTCGGTAAAGCCCACAGCATTGCTTTCGTTTTTGACGTATTTAAAAATGGGAATTTAACAAACCCCTACCTCATGTTTATATGAATGCGTATGTATGACATAACCTAAGAGCATGTGAGGAGTGATCTTCGATTGACCATTTTAAGCTGTTCTCGCCAATATTTTCAGCACATCAGCAGCTCATCTCCAGCGCAGCCACGCGTGAAAGAATTTCTGCCTTATTCATGTAGGGGAATAATACGGTGTCAGGAATGTGCTTCATCGGCAATATCTGATGACTCTGTGTGCCGTTAAGAAAATAAAGATGGATGGAATCTTTGTCAGCTCTCTTAGGTTTGCAATAAAAACGTACAGTGCGAGATACCATGGAGGCCTCTCCTTTACTTGAAGACTTTGTCATATGTCACGTGTCAAATGGTGATAAAAAGACGATCTTTGCGAAGGGCAGGTTCTCCCCTGACCCCGACAGCTCTTATAAAAATGGATGTCACGTCAGCACACGAGCTGATGGAGCCCCCCGGCAGCCCGCTCACTGTGGAGGGGCAGGGAGCTGGAATGACCTGGAAGTTCCCATATCCTCCCCAGGCAGCCAGTCACCCACGGCTGTGAGCCTTCCACCCGGCCGCTCTGGCTCCTTCGGGCCGCTCTGCTTCTAACAGTCTTGCCCTTCTATCCAGCCCAACAGTCTTCCTCACATCACTGTGGGGCTCGCTTCCACTGCCCCTTCCCCAGCGTGTGTCACTGCCCACCTTCCACGCTCACAAAAAGGATTCTTTCCCACCCCGACACCTCTCCTGTCCCTCCCTTGGTCTAACCCTTTCTTGCAGCTCTGTGTGACCCCGGACCCTAAACACACACACACACGCACACACACCTTTCTCTTCTATTAACCAACTTCTTTGTGGGTTGGAGTGAGTCTGATTCACTTTTTAATTTCCTGCGATGCCTAAGGGCACACCCATGCATCAAAGGTGCTCAATACACGTACATTGATTAGGTACATAAATTTATCCTGAAGTTGAGAGTCATTGTAATTGTGGAGTCAGGCCCGACGACCTTGTAATTGCCTTTCAAGCAGAATAGGCAGAAACCGGTAAACCCTCCATCACAGAAAGCACTAAATTGCTGGTGCCACCGGTCCCACCCACACCCAGGGCAGGCATCCCTGATTGACCCCAGCACTCTTCCCCGCCCAACCAGACAGGCCCTCACAGTCCTTCTCAGCCCACCCTCTAGGAAGATATTATCAGTCTCTGCAAGAGGGCACAAGAGCTAAAAAGCATGACTTTTAAGGATGCAGAAAAATGGACAGTATTTCCCAATCTTTCAGTGATCCCAAAGATAGGTAGTCTGTATGAATTTGTAATTTTGCTGAAGCACAAATTTGATACAGATACACAAAATATATACAGTATGCAGTATATATATATATATAACTGTGGGTGTGGGCGAGTGCCTTTAGTCATTTAGAGAATGCATCTCTCTATAATCAATAACTCTCCTGATGTGTTCCTTAAATTTTTTTTCATCCTTGGGGTGCCTGGGTCCGTTAAGCTTCGAACTTCAGGTCACAATCTCATGGTTCGCGAGTTCAAGCCTGGCATCAGGTTCTGTACTGATGGCTCAGAGCCTGGAGCTTGCTTCAGATTCCGTGTCTCCCTCTCTCTCTCTCTACCACCCCTCCCCCACTCATGCTCACTCACTCTCTCAAAAATACACATTAAAAATTTTTTTTAAAACATTAAAAATTTTGTTCATTCTTTTTACCTTATATCTGGAAATGTAAATAAGTTCTCAGTTTTGCTTTTTAAAAAATGATGTAATGTAGGGTAGAGTTTATTTTAGTGGGAAAATTTAGTAACTTTACTACTTATTCCTGTCCTCCGATCTATAGGATTATTAAGATTCAAAGGCGATTGCTTAAGTGTCAATGTATTGTGTCTTGTGGGGAAATCACATTGCCATAGTGTCTACAGCTTTGAAAGTGATCTCAAAGTGTGTTCGCTGTGAATATCAAGAGTAGATTGTGGATCTGGGGAAATCTTGGAAGTCTCCGTCTTTCCTGACGCCATCCCATCATAATTAAGATAAGGCCAGAACCACGTTGTTGGCAGGAACTGGGGTCAGGAGCTGCTCTGAGATAGCCCACAGCCAGCACACCTGTGGGACCTGGAAGTCACACTACTTGAGGAACTCCAGGACATATACCAGGAAGCCAACTTCGATGCCATTAACACAGCGCTCTGACTGAAAACACCCTGCGCAATACATGTATCATATCTCCTTACAAGAAGTCCAGAGGGAGAGTGGATTCAAGAACCGATGACAGTATCTCGGTGATTTCATCAAAGACTGAGGCTCTTCCTTCTTCCTAGGCCAGCCCCCTTCAAAGGCCCAAGGCCGTGAAGCAAGTTACAGGAGTCACGTCCAGACACACGGACGTCCAGAGTCATGAAAGAGACGATCGCTTCTGGCATCTCCTCTCAAAATAATGATTATGATAGTTAACACAACACTTAGTATGTAGCAGATACTCTTCTAAGAGCTTTACAGATACTAACTAAATTTTGTCCTTATCACAACCCCATTAAGTGTGTATTATCCTTAACCCCATTTAACAGATGAGGAAATGGCAGTAAATAAGGTGACGTAACTTTCCTAATGACGCACAGCTGGTAACTTCAGTCCACTTCAGGGACCGTGCCCTTAACCACAAAGTTATCTCTACTAGGAAAGCCTTTCCAAAAGCAACCCAGAGCCTTGCTTTCATGCTTGATTGGCCAGAACCGAGTCACATGGCCATCTCTAAACCAATCACTGAAGAGAGTCATGAGATTACTGCAAAGAGAGAGAAGCCAATGAAGCTGTATCACTGAGCTGGAGATAGACTCATCTCTCCCAAGGGACAGAACCTGAAAAAAAGTAGAATGCTAGTCCCAAAGAGAGGAGATGGACATAAATCAAGGAACTGGCATTTCCTGCTCTCGGGTACTGCCTAAAAACAGCCCAGCTTGACTAATCCCATTTCTTCTGCTTTGATAAAGCGAAAAGAGTGGGTTACCGTCGGTACCCATGCGCATATCTCGACCTCCTCTCTTGCTTGTAAGCACTCTAAAAATAACACATCTTACAAATCTGCCTATTCCCCACAAGGCCTGGCCATAGGGCCTTGCACATAGAAAGTGTTCAAGAAATGTTTGTTCATTGTAATTGGATTTTCATTCTCAAGTCTGCTTAATTGAAGAGGTCAACAGTTGGCCATGCTCAAGGCAGGCAGATAATGCATTTTCACATTGATCTAACAATCAAATGAATTCTGAGAAGCTTCCCTTGCCATGCAAAATAGCATAAAATCACACATTAACATAGGTCAGTGCAAAAGCCCAAATTTATTAAATTGTTAGTGTCTTGCACTCAGCACCCTTGGAGGTAACATTAATGTCACACTTTTATTATGACTTGACATTTCCACTATATTTCAAGGAACACATCAGAGAATCGTAAGAGAGCAGGCTACATAATTTGTACAGCCCTATGCAAACAGAAGATGCAGACACCGGTCTGGGTAGATAAGTTAATCTCCCATTTCATGGGCCTCTTGCTCTGACCTTCAGTCGATAGGTGGCCCCCAAGAGATTGTAACTTCCCAGGATTGGGAGTGGGTGAGAAGGTCACATGGAGTTGCCCGCTGAACTTACTGTGATCAAATCAGCCCACAGCAGAGACTAGCATTGCCTTGCCCTACCCCAAGAAGCAGCAGGATGTGTGCCTGACTTTGACACTACCTGTACCTGGGCAGAGCAGAATGTAGCAGAACTTGGGCCACCCCCACCTGGTTGTTGCAGTAATCAGGGGCAGGAGCAGAGACATGGGAGGCCAGGCAGAGCCTGAAGTTTGGTGGGTGGATGAGCTCTCATCCCAGAGGGGCAGTAGGGACATGGGACCACCTGTGAGATAAAGCTTCAAGCCCCGGGTGCAGGCTCCAGGGTTCCAGCATATTTCACTTACAAAACACCAATTCAAAGATAAAGGTATTTGTGGATTTCAAGATGATGACCACAGGGCATTAAGCCCCACACCCTTCTGAGCACAGAACCCCATGAGCCTGCATTGATCACACACCCTGGCCACAGAGGTCAGGTGTGGTACCTTGTTTCAATGGAACATCCATGCATGGAGAAGGTAGACACAATTTTAAGACATGCTATTATACAAAAGCTTTTTTTTTTTAATTTTTTTTCAACGTTTATTTATTTTTGAGACAGAGAGAGACAGAACATGAACAGGGGAGGGGCAGAGAGAGAGGGAGACACAGAATCTGAAACAGGCTGCAGGCTCTGAATGGTCAGCACAGAGCCCGACGCGGGGCTCAAACTCACGGGCCGTGAGATCATGACCTGAGCTGAAGTCGGACGCTTAACCAACCAAGCCACCCAGGTGCCCCAACAAAGGCTTCTTGAATGGATGAACTTACCTAATGGAATGGACGAAGAAGTTGGGCAGTGAAGAGGGTAATTCCTCCCTGTACGACATGTCCCTTTCTGTAGCTCCTTTCCTAAATGTATGCCATGGACACTTGGGACTTTATCCTGCAGACAGGCAATGGGGAGCCTGTTTTCCTTTTTTTTGATTGGAGGAGTAACATAATTGATGGATCTCTTTTGTGACTGTGTGGAGTAGGAATTCAGGGAAGAAGAGACACTGGGCATGCAAATCAACTAAACTCTAGAAGGACTATTAATGAAAATGACATTATTAGCAC